TATCACCTCAAGAGGCTTAACGGTTCCAAAGTACAGCAAGCTTGGAATGTTGAGCATCTTCGCTCCTATTACCAGTAATTCTGAACTCGCTCTTAATTTTATTCATTTATTTTGCTTTTAAAGTTTTCCTTGTAATCTTTATGATAAGATCGTCATGTTTTATCTTGAAGGAATATTTGTGTCATGTTCTTTTGAATGATCTTGTTCGTTACAATATTTTTACAAGTTTCCTGATCAGATGTATAATATTAGTCTTGTGAAGTGCTCGAATTATAGAAGTGCTATCAGAAATGGTCGAAAATACTCCCTGTATATTTACTCCTTGTATAAAAATAAAAAAAAATAAAAAAAGAAACAAAAAAATAAAAAAAAAAAAAAAAAAAGTAAAAAAGAAAGAAAAACAAAAAAAAAAGAGGCAAACAAAAATAAATACTAACAAAAAATAAGAAAATAAAAAAAGAATAAAACAATTGAAAATAAAATATAAAATAAAATGATAAAAAAAAAAGAAAAAAAAAATAAAAAAAATAATAAACAAAAAAAAGATAAAAAAAATTTTAAAAATAAAAAAAATAAAAAAAAAAATAAAAAAAAAGAATAAAATAAAAAAAATTTAAAAAATAAAAAAAAAACATAAAAGGATAAATAAGAAAAAAAAAAAAAAAAGAAAAAAAGAAAAAATAAATAAATTTAAAAATAAAAAAAAAATATAACCAAAAAATAAGATTAAAAAAAAAAAAAAATCAAAAAAAGAAAAAAAAAAAATACAAAACTAAAGAAATAATAAAAAAATAAAAGAATAAAAAAAGAAGAAAAATATATAAAAATAAAAAAATGAAACACACAAAGAATAAAAAAAAAACAACTTAAATAACAAACAAAAAAATAAGAAAAGACAAAAAAATATAAAAAAAAAAAAAATAATCACCTCACATCTCTTCTAAAGCTCAGCCATCTGGAAGTCTACTATGCGAAGGGCAAAATTTCTCTTTACCAAGTACTGATTCACCTGAATGTGGATTGCTTTTGCATCTGCGTCCAGAGCCGCGAAGTCTTGTTTCAACTTGATATTCTTTTCCCTCAGCTCGTGGAACCCTTCAGCAGAGTCCATATCAATCTTTTGTTGAGCCATATGTAAGGCGAGCAGGGACTATATGAGAAAAGAAACAAGAGTTAGCCTCCATTTTCCCAAAAATCATAAAAGTTAGAAAATCAACTGATATTAGAAAGTCCTTAACAAGAACAAACTGTTTTACCCGGCTTTGCAGCTAAAGCACAGTAGCCACCAAGTCCATGGGTCGAGAAGCCACAAACTCCTCGAAGACCGCAGCCAATTGGCATTCCAGCAAGGTATACACCACCGGCCGTAGGTGCTCTGGGAGTTGCCACATGAAATCTAGCACAGGTGTGTTTGACCTCGGAGGAACCGGTACCTCATTGACCCGTTGTTTACCTGCTCTCCTTTGAGTAACCGTGACCTCCCCCTCTCCTCTGCGCGAGCTGTCGGGGACCGTCAAAGTGTCAGGCACACTCCTTGGGGGCACCCCTGAGCGGAACGCTTGGTAAGGCTGCAATCCCCCCGGCGACATCTTGAAGCCCTCTGGCTTGGACTCCGATTCCTCCTCGGCAAGCAGCTGCTTCCTCTTCTTGGTTTTTTGGCCAATAGTTTTCTGCTTAGCAGTGTGAGTAGCCACGGCCCGAGAAGCTTCTCCACGTTGCTCCGTGGGTGTTTGCCTTTCGGCACCAATCTGTATCCTTTCTGTGGGGATATCGTCGGGAATCACCTCGGCTGGCTCGGTCAAGTCGACCCGCGAAAATACGAACCCCCTAGTCCTTGTCGACGGCCTTGGAGCCCTGGGTGGCATGGTCACTACGCGCCATAAAAACATGTTAGCGAAAAGGTCACCCTAGGCAAAAGAAAAGGGTTCTAAGTGTGAAGATACTTAAGGGCTAAGGGTTCCAAAGATGCTTCTGGATTGAAAAAATCGTACTTTCTTAAGTTGGTAGTAGTCACGAGCAGTCTCGCGTCGCGACTCTGCTTGGGTAGATGACCGAATGTCATGATTCAGTTAAAGTCTGTCAAAGCTGTCAATCTGGTCATCTTATTTTCTACAAAGAGACAAAAAGTTCGTTAAATATAAAAGGAGCTGAAGAAAAAGGGATAGTTCACAAATCGAAGGAAAAGAAAACCTACTCGGCTCCCTAAATTGGCAAACACCATCATATTTAAAAAAGAAAAATTTGGTCTCATAAGCCCTGACGTTATTGGGGTAACCAAATATTCTTCCCTCGTTCGTAGATCGCTTCAAAAGGTAAAAAGAGTCTTTATCTTTACTCTTCTTCGAATAGTAAGCACATGCGAGCTCCAACGCTGTCAGCTCGCTAAGACAATTTTCGCCACATGCGATATACATAGCAACCACTATCATATATGTATTAGGCGTCAATTGTAATGGCGCGACCTCGAAGTGGTCAAGGATTGATCTAATGAAGGGGTGAAAATGTATCAATGACCCACATTTAAATATCGCCTCGGAGATCGCGGCTATTCCCTTTAGGGGATTTCGAGCTGTGTACGTCCTATGCTGGTAAACATCCACGCTAAACGTGAACTGGTCCACCTCTTTCTATATCTCGTCTGGGGTGGCCACTGATAATCTCTCTTACACAGGACCTATTGAGGTGCCCAGCGCCTGCGAGCTCATCCCTTCGGCTGCTCTGGTCGCTGAAGTGTCCATTGCTCCTAAAGCCTAAAAAAGGGGCGACATGCAGAGAAAACTCAGTCTCCATATAGTGTTCCGTATGATGATATGGAAGAGCAAAAGAAACCCTAATTTACCTTCCTTAACCTTTAGAAAAACCCTAAAAACTCTTGGGAATGAATTCCCAAGGATCTGTGCCCTAAGTTCTCATTTTTTATAAAGAAAAAAGTTCTCTTCTTACCACTGTCCAAAAATATGCACCATGTAAGCTTACCAGACAGTTTACACCCACCATAACCGTAAAGTAAAGCTATTAACAAAAATAATAGAAGAAAACGAAGGAGAAGTCCTCCTTACATCTTGACTGTTGAGAACGAACTTCTTATCATAACGAAGAGTGTGCATCAACTGGAAGAAGAACGGATTGATTTTGCGAGTGCAAGAGTTTTGTTTTTCTCTTTGAAAATGTGAGTTCTGTGATAAAACTTGAGGTGAACCTAGGGTTTTATAGGGGGAAAGACGACGATTGGTTTCCTTAAGCAAGCGAAGCTTAGGCGGGATACGTTTCTCGCCATTAATTACGGCCACGTGTCGTTAATCCACGAGAAGAGTAACCTTCACACTTCATGGATGCGAATCGACGTTTCCCTCCATTAGAGCAACCAAGCGTCAGCGCGGTTACCTCCTCCACATTAAATGCGCCCTCATCCGCATTTGATGCTTTGAAAGGGAATGTCATTTCAGCATGGCTTACATTTAATGCGCATGGCTGGCACTTATTGTGCAATAGACATGTCTGTCAGAATAAAGTTTATTTTATTGACCAGACTAGTTGTCAAGCGTAACAGATAACATCTGAAGAGGTAGTTCGAGTAAAACATCTGAAGAGGTCGTTTGAGTAAAACACTCTTCGCCGTATATCGATTTCGAGACGATGTGATTCCTTGCTTTCGGTAAAAATGTGCTAAGTATTTTCAGGTCGCGAGTGACGGATGAAATTCAAAGCATGTTGGTATAGCACTGAGTAGGGTTCGACCCAGGTCACTGAACCTGTGGGAGAAGGCCGCCTCAGGTCGCTTGTGCTATTCTTAGAGACCTATGCTGCGACCTTCTTATAGCTCGATGGTCGAGTTGAACCACTAGTTTCACATTATCTTAACTGCTTGTCTCATACAACTCGATCAAGCGTCACTCGGGATAAGTCAAGCCACGAAATAATCATGAAGTTCTCAAGGTTCAATCCTTAAATCTTAAAAACTGGGGGGCTTCTGTTATGCCTAAAAAATCAGGGTTGACGTAAGCTCACGCCAGCACGGGCCAATCAGAGTTCAAGAAGACTTTGTGCCGTCTAGACGCTGCCATGTCACACAAGGACAGAAGAGGTAAGGCTATCGTCAGTGTGAAAGTCAGGCTTGTGAGTGGCTAGGAATTGTCCACCTGCCTAAGCCCTATGAAGGATGTCTCCCGTGCAGACAACCAAGGGGAAGCAGGTTAGGAATTGCACCACATCTGCCCGACTGCAGAATCATGATTACTACCTTGAATCCCCCGATTATAAATAGAGGGCTCTTCTCTTATTTACGGGATTGACTCATCTTTAGTCTTCAAAAGCATATACACTCTCTCTCTCTCTCTCTCTCTCTCTCTCTCTCTCTCTCTCTATATATATATATATATATATATTTTTTTTTTTTTTCAATTCTCTCGAGATTGTAATTCAGCTCACTATATGCGACCTGACTGTAACCATCTATCAATATAACCATAGTTGACGTAGGATTTGCTTTTGAGTATCCGAACCACTTTAAAAACCATTTCTCATTTATTCTTTCATTGCACATTTTCTTATCACGTGTAATTTCTAAGTCCGTTTAGCACTTTGCACATACAAGTCGTTGGTGTCAAAATCAAGCATCAACAATATTATTTCACAAAAATTGAAATCTAAAGATTTTCCCTATTCTCAAAATCCTATCCTAAATTATTCAACTATTTTTAATTTTCAAATGTTATCTCATAATAACCACCCGATTCTACCTAGCAATAATATTTAAAAAATACTACTACAAATAACTAAATGCATATTTATTTCCTTATTTTTAAAATTATGTCCTAAATTATTCAACTATTTTTAATTCTTAAATCATACCTTGTAACAACTACTGCTTAATAATAATATTTAAAAAATATTACTCCCCGTTAACTAAACAGTCCCATGTAAACAGTCCCATGTAAACCAAGTAACCAAGATTTTTCTTCTTCTGCAAATATAATTTGGACCATAGCGTAGCGGTATTATTTACGCATTACGCGGCACTCCGATGGACACAGACATTAACTAAACCCAATAACAAATCCATCGCACCAAAATATCAACAAACAACATTATTAGCAGTCAACTCTTTAACTCCTTCTCAGCTCTCTTCTCTTCCCCCCACTCCAGACTGAAAAATCGCAAGCAACATGATGTGGGACGAGTGGGTCGACGACGGCAACAATTTTAATGAAGCCCAACACCATCAAACGGACCAAGACCAGCAGGATTCTCATGTTAATTTTGATTTCCTTTCTCTTCTAGCCAAACCCAAGGTAATTATTGTTTTCTTATTGGCAAATTTGCTATGCTTTTTGTTGGGAATTAATGTTCTGAGTGTTTGTGGTTGATGATGCAGGACTATTATAAAATTTTGGAAGTGGATTATGATGCTACGGAAGACGCAATTAGGTCCAATTACATACGTCTGGCGCTGGTTCGTTTGTTTTTATCAATTTTTGTTGGGTTTTTGTTGTCTTAGTTTTCGTTCATGGTCGCTGAGCTGTTTTTTTTATGTGACAGAAATGGCACCCTGATAAGCAAAAGGGTCAAGATTGTGCCACTTCTAGATTTCAAGAGATAAACGAGGCTTACCAAGGTAAGTGAACTAAATAGTTCAGTTTTTTTTCCTCTTGTTTCTTCAGATGAATGTTGAGTTTATGCATTAGAATCAAATAATTTGCTCTGATTACAATGGCCGAGTTTTGGCCTGTGAGAATGCATTTGTGACCTGTGGGGATAGCTTGTGGAAATGATTCATTCCTTTTATTTGTGTTTGAACTTGTGAATTGGTGCTTTAATATTTGATAATTTATCTAGCCAAACTAGGTGTAGGTATATTTGGTATTTGCTTTATGTGTTATGTTTATTTTTCAAATGGGGTTGTGAAGGGTTTATATGCCAATTTTTTTCATAGAAAGTGGGTAAGAATGAGAATATTTTTTAACTTTCTCCAAGCTTGGTCAATCTAGAATCACATGGGTTGTGGTATCCCAGTGTTTGTTTTGTAGCTTCCAGTTGTTATTGGTGATCCAAACGAAGATAATGGTCTTGCTTAACAAAGAGTGGATGTGGCAAGGTGTGAGGGAAGGCACGATGATGACTGATCTTTGGAGTCAAGCTATTTAGTAGGGAAAGTTTGATTTGTGGAGGATGTGGATTTTGGAATTATATTGTTTACAATGATAACAAAGGCCACTTTAAGTAGACCCCCGATGCTGCTAACTTATAGGTTTAAGGGTTTCTGAATTAATTTCTGATGGGAAGACAAATTGATGAGTATGTCACATGCATACTTCATCATGGAGAAATCTTGTACAGGTAAATATAACATAAGACAGGATTGGCTGTCACCTTTTGGATCCATGCACATTATTTTCTAAAAAGAAGAATGAGCATAAAGATGATATTCAGTGCTGAAACTAGTTGAATCTTGAAATTCTGAAAATGGTAGGAAATGACAATCAAATCAGGGAATGGAAGGAAGCTCAAACTTTGCTAATGGTTCCTCTATATTTTGACCTGTTTTTATATGAATCATATTTCCATATTACGAGTCCATGAAATTGGTAATTTTGGGCACCTAGAAAAATAAAGCCAGTATCTTAAAAGCAGGCTGCCTTTACATGTTCTCTCTCTTTCTTGAGCCATATTTTTTTAGTGATTCAAAATGATTGGGTACGTAGGCACTAAGCTGGGCCTATCTGGTTTTATCTTCAATATAAACTCTTCTTGTATGCAAAGATGCAGTTTTGCGGCATAACATACCATTATGTATTATAGACTTCCAATCAGTTCCCTGTTTTTTGGCCCTGATGTCTGGAGTGTAATGTTTTGAAGGAGAATTAGCCTGACATGAATCAAGTAACTGGACCTGAGTTCTAAAATTCAAAGACAGGAGTGTAGGGATGTAATGTAATTTTGCTGAAAGTCTGGAATACATAACAAACTTCCTTTCTCTAGAAAATGATCTCTGTGGAAGTAATTGCTCCTTTTCTCAATAAAATTATTCATGATACTCGCTGAGATTTAAATAAATAAATACTTAACATTCTTTTTGATATTGCTTTGCAAGTGATTATATTTGCTGAGCTTGGCACTAATATGATTGGTGAAAAATATATAAGAACATTTCATGGTTTTTTGTGGACATTCATTCCCATCAATACTGTTACCAGCCCTTATATATGGTGAGTGTATGTGTTAAAAGAGATTTACTGCTTAGGAAATGAGATGCTTCAGAGTTTGTAGGACATATTTGATCACTTTGCATTCATAATTTAAAACTGAATGCTCACCCCATGCATATATTATGGCTATAATTCTGTGACAAAATGGTTGAATTTAGTATTCGGTGTTTTGATTTGGAAACTAAGTGTTTTGATTTGGAAACTAACTACTGAATGTTTTTATTTTATTGAACAGTTTTGAGTGACCCTGTCAAAAGGAGAGATTATGACAGCAACGGGATGTTGTATGTCTATGACTGTAATGTAGTTGTAAGAATTTCTCCTATTCCATCTTGCAGACATTATTTACATGCTTTTACTCACACTTGGCTAATTGTCTTGCAAATTTCCATTTATTGCCTGCAGGACTATCTAAACCGTTACAAGGGCCTTATATTAACATGCAATGGCCTTGGGATGAGGCATTCAATTTTGTAAAGCCAAATACCGTGAGCGAGATGTCCCAAGGACAGTTGGGGCCGTTCATGCTGCAAGTCACAAATTTACTGTTACTACAAGTAGCATACTAGCATTGAAGGGATATAAAGCAGCGCAGTTTGTATGTACGAGAGGTTAACATTATCAGACACCCTTGTATAAAATAGATTACTTTGTCATCTTAACATCATTGTATAACATCGTGGGGTGTCCATTTAATCTATGCCGAGGATTTCCTGGTCATATAATCTTCTCACAGTAAACTTCTTGGCATGGAGGGATGATCGACCTTTTATTTTATCTGGTAGCATTTACATGACTGAATAATAGAACAACATAATTAGGTTTCTGGTTTGGAGTTATTTCAACTAACCCAAAGCAGTCAACTCCCCTTAAAATACTGAATAATATAAAATTTTCACGATTCATTTACAGCATCTCAAATAATCAGAGACGGTGGGCCGCATCTTGTGTTGAGTTAAAATAACTTGTAGAGAATGAAAATACTGATCAAAGAGGTCCTTAAACCAATTGTAGGTGCTCAAATTTACTTCAGAAATTAGAATTCAAAAGTAACAATTATATTTATGTCAATCTTAAAATTAGTACATTTTTACTATAAATTTAATTTCAAAAACATAATAATACGGAAACATAACTGCGGTCATTCCAGCTTCGTGTTTTGAATCACTACTCTAGTTCTAGTAATATTTATCAGCGTCTTTTACAACATAGAGACGCCAATGAGTTTCCCCTTCAGAAGCCTGTCCCTTCAATTAAGAACAATGTTGCAAGTTTCCTGACTCTATAATGACTAAATCATCGAGCAATTCAAATGCAAACAAAAGTTTTCTTCCTCTGCAAATCAATTCAATCAAAACAGCCCATGAATCAGGCTCTGGTTTGAACCCCATTTCTACTAATCCAAACAATGCCATAGCGGCATCTTCTACCATTCCAGCTTTACAGAGGCGTACCAGTAACTCATTTGAAGTTGCATGATGCGGTATAAACCCCCTACCCAGCATCAAACTCAATAGCTCAGCAGCCTTCTCCAATTCACCTTTTTGGCACACAAAATTCAAGACAATCCTGTAACTCGCTTTGTTCAGATAAACACCCTCGTATGGCAGTTTCTCAAGCATACTGAGTGCCTCTTCACACCTACCCTCTCTGCATAATCCTCCAAGTAACACATTAAAAGTTACAATATCAGCTTTACACTCTCCTTCTTTCATCTCTTTGAGCAACTCCATGGCTTCGACAGTCTTACCTGCCCTACAGAAGCAATCAATTAATGTAGTATAGCCCACTGTATCAGGTTTAAGGCCAAAGCTCTTCATCTCATTAAAAGCCTCTGTGGCCTCTTGCAACCTTCCCTCTTTACAAAAACCATTCATTAAGGCTGAGTAATTGAATAAATTTGGACTGCATCCATTATTCTTCATGAACTCAAAAATCTTCTTTGCCCGATCAACTTTCCCTCCACGACAGAAGCCATTAATAAGAATGTTGTAAGTCAGGGCATCAGGCAAGATCTGATCCTTTGAGACCATTTCCTCAAAGAGATCAATCGCTTCTCTGAATCTTTCACTTCCACAGAGACCGTCCATCAGAGTTGAGTAGGTGATCAAATTAGGATAAGAAATCCTGGACCTTTTCATCTCCTTCAAAACTTCAAAGGCAGAATCAAAATTCCTATTTTTGCAATGATGCTTAACCAAGATATTGAAAATGCAGGTATTTGGCTTCAATTTGAGACACTTATTAGAATAACAGAGAAATTTTTGGGCCAAATCAACCTGGCCTGAATCAACCAAGAGATTAAGACAAGTGCTGATGGCTTTGAGAGAAGGCTTTTCACGAACAACTGGCTGAATTGCATAGAACATCTCAAGCACCCTTTCATGCAGAGAACATTTTGAAAAATGCTTCATGAGAATAAGAAATATCCCCTCATGAAATTTACAAGTTTCATATTTCATTTGATGAAGAACCGCATCAACGGCTTGAAACTTTTTTGACCGAGCAAGCTTATCAAGAATTGTTGCATAGGTGGCATTGTTGTGGTTAAAACCCTTTTGCTCTGATAACTTATTAAATATTTCCAAGGCACGCTGTGGTTCTCTCTCACGCTTGATCAAACTGATGGCAGCTTCATGTGAAATAAATTTCGATTTTTTGCTAACCTCCACAGAGGTGTTCAAAGTTTCGGTTGGAGGGTCTGGTTTCGGGGTATTGGCCTTCAAAAGTTGAAGAGGAGAAATCCATGGAAGTGAAGAGGAGGAGGAGGAGAAACAGCAACGCTTATGAATTGAGAATCTTATGGATTTCATGAAAATTCAGGCTGATTTTAGGGCTTCATTATCTGCACTCTGAAAAAGATAAAGACTATCAAACACATTTTCATTAGCATGAGCAAACAAACTAGACATTTGAAGTCTAACCACATATACATTCACAACATATGCATCAAATGCTTCAATAAACTCGACTTATCCAAGATGTCTTTGACAAATGCTTCAACGCATAGAAATATGAATATGCTATAACATAACAGTGATTGAAACAACACTACTTATCTGGCTCACTACTCAATCTAACTCCATAATTTTCATTCTTGTTTGCCCGCTAGATGTTTGACGACTGGTCTTTACATCCGACCATTACCCAGAAAAAACAAAAGCAAAAACTGATTTCCTTCTCTTCATATCTCCTCCATTCACAACCCAATCTTAATTCTCAACCCAGAAATCTTCGGCCAATATGATCGGTGATAACCGAAAGCAACAATTAAAAGATGCCCAGATATTATGAGAAGTTAAAAAAAATAAAAAAATAAAAAAAAAACCTTAATTGCGTATCAACAAAGTACAAAGAGTGGAAATGGCTCTGTAAAAGAAGAGCTAACTTTACATTACATTTGCAGAGTAAGAAATAGGGAACTTACAAATGAGATTATGAGAATGAGTTGCTGATGGCTTAATGCAGAGAGATCAGTATAAATTAGTAAATAAAACCAGCAGTAAATCCCACTTTCAGCTGAACTAACCAAGGAACTTTAGTGGTTAGCTTAGACATAAATATTTATAGAATTTCAAAATCACATAAATGCGACTCAGGACCATGGAGGAGAGAGGTTGAAGAAACAAAATACAAACCGAAGCCTCAGCAAACAGCATAAACCTAAACGTAGCGTTTTATATTGTAAGAAAGCCAGCGGAGGAATGGATCAACCTCTTACTATCCAGAAAGTAAGCCCAAGAGGTAGGCCCAAAGGGACGTCCTAATCCACTATGGACTATCGTTTGATTCATTTCAAAGTGGTGGGAAAGTCTAATCCAAGTTGTCCACTATATATTTCAATCGGATTTAAAACAAACATTATTGTTGGACTAATATTATGCTAGTAATCTGTTTTTTACAAATTTTTTCTCACAATTCTGCTGTAATAATTTATAATTAATCAGTTTAAAATAGATCTCACATAGATCTTATATGAATCTTACTAATTAATTACAAGTTAATTAATTATAAATTATTATGTTAGAGTTGTGAGAAAAAATTTATGAAAAAAAGTTGTTAGTGTAATATTACTGTTATTATCTCATCTGTGATTCGTTGGCAGCGTTAAAACAAATATTAAATAAATAAATAAATAAATAAAAAAGGCTCAAGTTCAAACTAAATAATTGCACTATCCCATCTCGTAAAATGACAATATTATCCTCTACGATGACTCACATCCTACACTCAACCCCGCATAAAAAATCTCTTCACGCCACACTAAAAAAGGCCCAACACAGTTCTCCTCCAGCACACAAACGCAAGCACCCCTTTGTCTCTCGCTCTCTCTCTTTTTCTCCGCAGTAAGCATTCACGGACTACAAAATGGCGGCAACGGTCCCAGACAACTTGACGAGAGACCAGTACGTCTACCTAGCCAAACTGGCCGAGCAAGCCGAGCGTTACGAAGAAATGGTTCAGTTCATGCAAAAACTGGTGGTCGGTTCTACTCCAGCCGCCGAGCTGACAGTGGAGGAGCGTAACCTGCTCTCTGTGGCTTACAAGAACGTGATCGGATCGCTGCGTGCCGCGTGGCGGATCGTATCGTCGATTGAGCAGAAAGAGGAAGGACGTAAGAACGAAGAACACGTGGTGCTTGTGAAAGACTACAGATCGAAGGTTGAGAAGGAGTTGACGGATGTTTGCGCCAGTATTTTGACTTTGTTGGAAGGGAACTTGATTCCGTCGGCCGTCTCGAGTGAGTCGAAAGTGTTTTATTTGAAAATGAAAGGAGATTATCACCGTTACTTAGCGGAGTTTAAGATTGGTGATGAGAGGAAAGCCGCTGCTGAGGATACTATGGTGGCTTACAAATCTGCCCAGGTACTTTACTTGTCAAAATCAAACTCACGAGTGACTGAAAGATCTGGTACTATTTGTGTTTTAGGGTTTTGAATTGAGTGTGAATTGGGGAGTTGGATTAGTTTGTTTTTAATTGTTAGTCCATGAAAAATACAGTGGTTTAAATAATTAATCTGTTGATGTTTTGTTTTGTGAAAGGACATTGCATTAACGGATCTTGCGCCTACGCATCCGATAAGATTGGGGCTGGCGCTTAACTTCTCTGTGTTCTACTACGAGATTCTCAATCAGTCTGATAAGGCATGCAGCATGGCTAAGCAGGTATGCTTTCTCCCCAATTACTAATCATCTATATCAGATTCGGTTAATATAAGTTATTTCACTCTTTTAAGCGAAGTTGAACTAGTTTGGATTTGTTACATGAAAGATTTACTTTATCAATTATAATCTTAGTTCTTGTAAGCATAATCCTTCGGTCAGCATCACAACACAAATGGTCGATATCTTGTACTGGTCTTTGATGCCTAATTCTTTGTTAGGAGTAGATTTAAGATAAAATTTCATTGAACTCTGTTTTTACTGAAATTACAATGGTGAAATTTTCATTCAAAGGCATAGGCCACCAATAAAAGACATCAGACATTGAGGTTTGGAACAAGTTCAGGAGGAAGCTTAATAATGCCTGATTCTTGGGGTTTTTCTTTGTTCAAAACTTTGCATCATGGTCAAATCATGTGAAGTTAGAGCTGACGTGTACAACAAGTCATTGGTTATTTGTTTTCTTTCTTCTTTTTCATTTTTGGCTACCAATGCTCATTTATGATTGTGATATAAGTGGTTTTAATTTTATGTTTTTGTTGATGTGTCTTTTGTAATCAGCTGTCTGATTGTGGTGTTGCTTTCATCTATAAATGTCAGAAATCGTTGAATTCCATTTCTCTTATAATTATTTGTTAGGCATTTGAGGAAGCAATTGCTGAGCTAGACACTTTGGGAGAAGAATCATACAAGGACAGCACCCTTATTATGCAACTCCTAAGGGATAACCTCACTCTTTGGACTTCAGATGTGCAGGTCAGTGCAACTCTTGTCTCTGTGGCTGTAACATAATTTTATTTTATTTTATTTTTACTATTTTTTTGGTCTTTATACATTATAGGAGTATACTGGTTGTGACGACTTCAATTTTGTTTATGCTTGGTACATTGCAGGACCAGTTAGATGAGCCATGAGATTGTGAGTGAGCAGTAGCGGTCCTATTCTTCTTTTGGAGGAGGTGGGCTTTGAATGTCATTTGTTTGTGCTCTTTAAAAGTGTGTCAATTTGAAGAATGGGTGTCAACCAGTGAAATTATGTTTTGATATTCAGACTGAACTTTTCTTTTTGCTAAATTCTAAATGGTCTAAATAGGTTAAGTGTTTGATGTTGATACCAGCTAGTTGTATTTTCTGCAATATAACATGTGAATTTTGGTGAATGGCAACCATTTTTATCTCTTAAGATTAAAAGATAAACAAACCAATAAAAATATTAACTAAAAAATATGAAAGAATTTGCATTTGTGAGCCCATCACTTTCGCGGTTGATAGCATGTCCATTATCGCTATGACCGCCGTCTATCTTTCTTGATTTCTCCAAAGGTTGCTTTCCTTTGTTGACAAAAGCCTTGCTGGATAAGGGTTGGCATTGTGCTGGCTGTTGGCTTTTTCTTCAGGGTGTTTTTCGTGACAGGATATTGAAAATCAAGCTGTACGAATCTGAGTATAGCTTTGAAAGTTTAGATTTAGAAGTGTCGTTGTTGCGTTAAAAAAATTCTCAGAATAGAAAACATGGCATGGGGCGGCTTCAAACTTAGGTGTCATGACTCCTGGTGGTTTTGGGCTAAATTCTGGCACCTGGTCAACTTCCGAACATAATTAGGATAGGTATGAGTTATGATTTTTGATAGTTCATTTTTTAATTTTAATTGACAATTTGTGAATTCTTAAATGGGACGAAGTTATCGTTGCTTTTCTGATTCAGAAAAATTCTTTTGGACACCACTCAGGCAATCAATACGTCTTTTAATAACCAAGACCAAGATGCCTGTAAGAGTATTTCTATTAGTATTTTTTATTTTAAAGAGGAACTTTTATATAAATAAAAAACATCTTTATTGATTTTTAAATATAACTATTTGATTCTTGCACTAAATCATGTTTGTGCATCTGATTCTACCAATATTTAAACATAAAAAGGTTCAATTTGTTGATTATACGGTTCATATTAGATGTTTAGGGCATTGTTTTAAAACCCGGACTAGAGGGTAACTTGTTTTGTGGTCACGGGTCAATCAGTCCAACCGGTTGGACCGATCAGTTTGATCGATAATATCAGTTATAATTTTATTTTTAAAAAATTACATATTAATCTTTTAAATTTTAATATATTACAAAACTTCTCCTAAAAAGTTCATATTAGTCCCTAAAGTTTTTATTTATTTCAAAAATTTCCCCAAAAATTATTAATTAATCCTTAAACTTTTGACATATCTCCAAAACACTCCCATAAAATTACAAAGTAACCCTTATAATTTTGAAATATTACAAAAAAACTCTAAAGACCTGAACCGGACCGAAGAAGCTATCGGATCCCGTCGTACCAGTCCAGTTTTTAAAACAGAGGTCTGGGTCGCATGCTTTTCATTCTTTTTTCCAATCATGTATCAAGAGTGATGGTTCCGTGCACAACTTGTATGTTTACTAGAAGGATAGACATAACGTTATTTATATGTTAGCCTGAGATTGAAAGATTTGGCCAGGGAAGAAAATTTAGGAAGAGAAGAAACAACTGATATAGAATAAAACCAATGTCACTCAGACGGTTCCCTCGAAGCGATATACAATCATAATTTTCATTGTTGAGGGCGCTTTACCATGATAAGATGATAATTGTAGGCATTCATTTGCTGGAGCAAAGTATTCTCAACACCCTATTTTCAAGCCGCCTTATATGGCATCAGAAGTCAGAACATTTTTATTGTGTTTTAAGGCAGAACATATTCAATGACGTGTATGGCTATAAATCAAACAGCAATAAGTTTAAATATAAAGTTTTATGCTTAATTGATGTGACACTAACCTAAAATTGTAATATTATTATATAAAATAACTATTAAATGACATGATCATCTTAAATTAGTGTGAAATCACTTGATTGGAAAGAAGGAAACTTGGAGATTGGCTTTGTAAGAGTAGTATTAGTGTCTTTTTAGATATAAAGAAAGAGTAATGCTACGGGTACTAACGAATTTTGTTAACCAGTATACTAACTTAACACATAATATAGGTACCATACGCATAGTATGGATACTATGTGTGATTTTAACAAAGATTAGTATACTGGTTAATAAAATCCGTTAGTACCCAAAGTATTATTCATAAAGAAAACCAATAATAATTTCAAAGTTTATGGTAGCCAGCATATACCATATAGTAAAGCATATAATATACAGACTTCCCAACAAATAACCAAAAGACAGTCCTTCACCTACAATTAAGTTCCAATGTCAAATTACAGACTTTATTTATGTTGCAGACGCCACACACATCAAAACCCAAGGAGGCACAAACTACTTCACAAATGCATAGATGTTCACGCAATTAGACCTTGCAACGTCCGAGAAAGTCAATCCCTTGTACTCTTTTTGACCCATTCCAAGTACTGGTGACTGCCACCGGTGATGGGCATGGCAATTACTTCTGGTTCACTGAGCAAAGACGAAGGTTAATTTAGGAGACAACCAAATCTTGCTTTTATCTTTCAATATTCTTAGTCCAAAAATAAGCTATAATCGATGCAGTAAGGAAATGCATATAAGTTTTCTAATCCTATGATACGTTGTTAACAGGCCACAACATATTTTATGTAAGCGAATTAAGCCAATGACCATGTTCCATATCGTTCCTCAGCCTTTTCAGGCAGCCACCCAAATTTTCAAATAGAACTTTGTGCTTATGTGAAGAACATGAAGCAGAACTTGGTACTTACTCATATTCATGATTTGCTTTGACATACTCAGTCAGAGCTTCCAAAAGGGATTGTCTGGTTTTGATGATAAGCAGTTCCTCAGAGTCTGTCTGTATCTGCAGTAACAGATAGTTAACTAGTATAAGCAAACTGCAGAACAACTAAAATCGTGCAAAACAACCAGTCTAGGAAGACTTGCAATAAGTTCATATCCACAATTCTCTTTTCACAAATTTCTTCTGGTGGGGAATGTAGAATCTATACCTCTCCTTTCCACTCATAAACAGATTCAATACCTGCATTCATAATAAATCTCTGATTATTTTAAAACTTAATTTCAAGAAATATAAAACAGATGCTACATATTTAGCAGCAATTTTATGATACAACTACCAACCAAAAACAAATCCAAGCAATTAGAGCAGAATTTCTAGAGTTCCACTATGAAAGAACTTTCTTCCAGTCATGGTCCTAAAGGAACTCCCAAGACTAGGTTACTCTTTCTGAAAATCAATGCAATTAAATAATCAATCCACAAAATAGTTCATGATTTCGTTTTGAAGACTGATTCGTCTAACTCCTATTCTACAGTCAAATCATGGCATCAAAGGCAGCCTATGATAAGTTGAGAATGTGATTTACAAGGCAACAATAATAGTCCAAAACATTGCACCTATTTACCCAAAAATACAGTTAAAAGATAACTCTTTTTCATAAAAGCTCAACATGATGAGTCCATTTATTTATTAATACTCAGATAAATTTATAAAAAGCTGGTGTAATTTCAGTAGATGCTGCAAATTTCTGATCACCAATTCAGACACCATGTTTAGCGAGAGGGAAGGAAAAGGAACTGATTTTAAGAGTTATTTCCAGAAGAGCAACTTGGCAGTGAACTAGATATGAATAACTTTTAATATATCTTAATACTTTTAACTTTTAAGTTCCATCAAAAGAAGAAAACTATTCTTAATCCAAGCTACCCACAAAACAAGTCTTTCACAAGGCTACATCCCAGCAAGAGAAAATGTAATGGCATTAAAGTATAAATTAAAAGACTGATTCACGTGCCTGGTACCCGGTTTACACATGCTGCAAGCCTCTCTTTCACTATGCTTTCAGCCAGCTTCTTTCCTGAACAAATTTTTAAATGAAATATTCAGCTCAATTCCGTTGAAGAATAGAAAATTAAAAAACGATGACGTGCTGCTAAACAGAATAAGGAAATAATACCTGCTTCTTTGTTAGGTACAGTAACGTAAACTACAATACTCGGTACAGTGTCACTGCTCCCTTCCATTTTGATGGCGTTAAAGCTCTTTGATGGTGTTTTAGTACCAAACTTTGATCTAAAATTACAATTATGTAAATGCTAACAAGCGATAATTCAATTACAATAAAACTACAGAGAAATTGATTCGAAATTTAAGGTATGTACCTTAAAAGAGGGGCGAACGGGAGAGACTGAGTGGTACCCGTTTTGAAGGGGGAAGAGAGAGTGGGGCAAAGATTGGAGATGCCTAAGCTTAGCATACAAATCGCCCCGACAAGGGGCAAACGACGTCGTACAGTGTAAGATGAAACGATTGAGGAGGCTCTGGAACAGAGTGTGGTAGCCATTTATAGTGTGAGATGATGATTCATTACTTGGAGTTCACTTGACAGCTGATACTCTCACCTTCGGAGAAGCAAATTTTTAGCTCCAGAAGCTACTTTCTCCCTCGTGATTTTGCCACGATTGCAAAATTTATCAAAGATTGATCCAACGGTTGCGGTGTTTGTTAGGTTTGATACAAATGGGTACCTTTGTACAACGAAATAAAAATTCAATGGGCCAAGTAGATGGATATCAGAAGCATTAAAAAAAGACCATTGAATTTTTTTTTTAATCCATAAGTTTAAAAATGAAAATAAAAACTTTAAATTTGAATAATTGATGGGTTGAATTGAGTCTGATTGGACTTTAAGCACCACCATTCATAGACTATTTGTCAATCAAGCCCATGAAGCGGTTGGCGGCCTTCAACATTTTATATATATTGCCATGACTTCAGTCCCTCACTCTTATTATAAAAGAGTACCGCTTTCCTTTTGATAATGAAAGCGCAATGGGATAGATGTCAGTAATCAGATCATATTTTTTTTGAAGAAAAAATGTTATCCTTATAAAGACTTATACAAAAAAGACTACAAAGTAAAAGAAAAAACAAAGAAAAAAAGGAAAAAGAGAAAGAGAGAGAGAGAAATCATGAAGATCAAGGGTAGGGGTTGTCTTTATATGCCCCCTTTGTATTTGTCTTTATAAGACTAGCACTTTTTTTTTTTAAAGTAATGCATGCCAAAACCATAAAATAAAACTAAATCACCTTGATGATTTGCTATTTTACACATCCAAATAAATGAAACCAGAAATCAGCATCCAAGGAACCAACATCTTCCTACACCAGCCATCTTCATCAATTAGTAGGTCCACTTATACAGTGACAATTAGGCCTAGAGACTTAAATTGTTGGCCCATAGTCCTTGTACTTTTTTTTTTTTTTTTGGGTCAAAATGAATAATCCATTCCATTCCACGACAAAATACATATGAGGGACAAGATGTATATGATAGCCATAAACATAAAACAATCAATCTAATCCAGACGGATTTTAGCATGTCTTATCCTGGAGATAAATTCACAAAATACTTGATGGATAACATGACCGCCAATTCAGAGGTAAAGAATCTGAAGCTGCTAGTCTTGCCACCTCATGCTCTAACAAATTAGTTTTCCTTCTGGTTCATTGAAACTCAACTGTAGAACAACTGTAGTCAAGATTGTGAATGTCTCTCACAATTCCATCGATCTCCCAAAAAATATTTTCTTTCCTACAGGCCTTAACAAGATCTAAATAATCTGTTTCCAATAATATCTTACTCAAACTCAGATTGGAAGCCAAAACTATAGCTTCCCTAAATGCTAATGCCTCTGCTATAAGGGGAGTTGTCGCAATTTTTTTTGAAGATTGCCTCGTTAACAACATACCTTTGTTGTCCCTTACTACAATTTATTGGATAAGGGGTACACCCATGATGGGTTACCCCAAGCGACGTGTGTGAGATGAAACTGCCAAATGCAGTTTCTCTCTAACTGCTACTTATAAAAGAAAAATTCTTTCTTTGAGTCATGAACACTGTTACTCTAAAAAAATGCAAGAAAAATATACGCTCTCTCTCTCTCTAGAATTTGGAAAACAGAAATACGATTTGTGGTCTTTCTTCCAGATTACTTTGTTGCTTCAGAGATAAGGAAAGGAGGTATTTATGCTGTGTAAATTCATTGTAGTTCATTTATATACAAATGTGATTGCAATGGTGACTATGATCTTGGGATTATGTTAGGATATATGTTATTCTATTTAATTTCCAACATTGGTATCAGAGCCGTGGTTCATATTGTTTGAAATTCATACTGTAATGTTGAAGCATGTTATTGGTTTTTCAATGCAGTTCTGATTTTTTTCAATTTTGTACGTAAAAAGTTGTCTTTTTGATAATGATTCTTAGACCATTAAATTCTTTATGAAATTATGAAGAAAAGGTTTTTTGAATCATAAAAAATGGAGTTAAATGACTTAGATATGCCTCTTTGAAGTTTCGGGTTTTGAATGGGTTGATTTCCGGGTCGGGTACCCAGTTGCAGACCCGACAGAGGTTGAAGACGACAAACTGACGCATGTCGTTTTTATCCTGTTAGTTTTTTTTGAAAAAAAAATTGAAATAGGCGTAGGTGGTGAACTTGAACCCAAGTCTCCATGGTGGAAAGCCCAATACTCTAGCCATTGGGCTAATTTTGTTGGGTGTTAACCATATTCACAAACCATTATATTCGTATCCGGCCCAACCCATAATCCAAATAAATATGGGTCAAGTTAACACGTGGACCCGATCCATATGACCGAACCGGTTAGGCAAACCGGTAATGACCAAACCCGACCCGTAAAGTCAAACGGGTCATCAACCCGATCAACCCAACCCGCAAAGTCAACGGGTCAGTCAAACCTGGTCAAGACCCGACCCGAAAAGTCAACGGGTCAACTCGGGTCAGGATAGACCCGTTTTAGTGTGAAACGGGTTGACCCGACCCGTATTGTGTGTGAGCGCGTCCGCGCGCGTGAAGCTTCTGCCGACGCGTGGGAGCGCGTGAAGTATTGTAAATTTTTTTCTTTTGTTGTAAGAATAAAAATGCATACTTGGTATATTGTTATGAGTCTAATTTTGTTATTGAACCATAAACCGTGTATTATTTATCAAATATAGTCAACCTTTATTTGATAAATAAATAGTTTTTTTTTTGTATTTGTTACAGAAAAATGTTACGTTATAGACTTGCAATGTTTCTAGAACACCCGCTCAAAGGGAAAGGGTTATGAACATGATTAGAACTCTACAAACTCACACATTGTTTTTAAGAGACACAGAGGATGGTTGGTGCAACTTGTAAATCATTTCATTTATGTAATGAAAAGATTCAGGAAATTGTCTGGATAGGGGATTAAAGGAAGATAGTCAAATTCCAAGTTCAAGAGGACTCTTGGTTACCCTAATCTCTTTGGTCTCCTTGATATGGTTTGGACCAAGCTGAAAGTTCATAACTTTAAAGATGACAATAAAAATTATAGACGTTTGGTAACAACTATATCAAGAGTACATAGATTGGGGTGCAAAAATGACAGCTAGGGCATCTATAGGAGTCTCCACTCGTAAAGGACATCACAAGAAACTGGGATTTCCCCTACCTAGGGTTAATTACAAGTTGATAAAGACTTAGATAAGGATTATCAGATCCTTCCCAGTTTTAGGAATGTGGCTGTACACTTAATTTTTTTTTTTTTTTTTTTTTTGTTGTTTTGGAATTTGTTTGTTTTAATTTTATTACAGTTGAATTCTATTACATAATGTAATTAATTTTGTTTATTAAATTTAAAATTTTATGTGAATTGATGTTGATTTATATTTATATTTGTGACTAAATATATTTTTAGAATTGCAATTAATTATATCTATGTAATTGGAAATTGGAATTGGATGATGATTGTTGACATTGTTAACTTTTGATTCCAAATCTAATATACAATTTTATTTGTATAATTATTAAATGAACATGTAGTTCCGAGCATTGAATAACAGCATTATCCAACGTGTATTTTGTTTAGAAATGACATCTGCATCTAAGAACATTGTCGCCGAACTTAACAAAGGAGAAAAATTCAACGGCGACAATTATGAGATGGAGCATGAAAATCAATATGTTTTGGAAAACAGAGGTTCTTGAAGCTCTTACTACAACCATGGAAGAGCTTGAAGAGGAGTCACGGCTCAACATAGACAGACCGTGCCGCTTATACATATGGAAAAGAAAGAATCCCACTGCTCGCATTACTTTGTTGGCAGCATGGACAATGATCTCATGAAGAATACCGGATTATGATTACAAAGGACATGTGTCCGCACTTGTCCAAAGTTTGGCGGTACGTCCATACCAAACTCCGATCACTCACTCAAATTTGACACATAAAGAAAAAGCCTGAACATACTATGAAGTACATTTACGGCATTTGTCAAACATGATAAGTGAGTTAAGAGATGCAGGTCATGTCCTAACAGATGAACAACAGGTTCAAGCTATCATAAGATCTTGCCTCAAATTGAACATATGAAATACACCTTACCCATAATGAGGGCATCAGAAATTTAGAAGATGCCATACGCCATTTGGAACTGGAAGAAGATCGCCTTAATGCGAGTAAGCACAATACTGATGTGTATATGGCTGGTTCCAGTTCACATGGTGGGAAGGGATTTAAACGTAAATTCCAAGGTGGATCCCAAAGAAAAGGCAATATGAAAGGCTTAAGGGAAGAAGAGAAGTTCTTCAAACACGGAAAAGGAAAGCATCCTGCCAGGAAGAGGAATAGGGCAAAGGTGAAATGCTATAATTGGGTAACAAGGGACATTTTGCTCGCGATTGTAGCGAGCCGAGAAGGTAAATTACTTGTTTCCACAAGTAAGTTATATAATGTTTCCAGTTCTGTTTTCTAACTGAGTCTCATTCTTTGTGACTGTAGATTCAGTATCCAACCACATGCGAAGACGGAGTGCTTTTGTGGAATTTCGACGAATACCACGAGAAACAAAATGGATATAGTAGGTACAATTCAAAAGTGAAGTTAAAGGGATCGGCACATGCAAATTGATCATGCGTGGAGGTCGAATCCTATACCTACGTGACTGTTATATGCACCCATATTCTTCGAAATTTGATTTCCGTGTTGAACTTGTTAAACTTGGTTTTTTTAAATTTCCAGTACTGGTGTCCATTTATTTTGGGCACAACATACATGGTTGTGTTTATTTTTTCCGATGGTTTTATAGTACTTGATGTTGCTTATATATAGTATGTTTTGTTTTTCCTTTATTACATCTTCTAATAATGAGGATGTGAATTATGGCATGCAAGGCTTGGCCATATTGGCCAACAACGAAATATAACTAGCAAGAGAAGGCTTGTTAGGATCTTAACAAAAGTAGACTTGACTACTGTGAACATTGCCTAGCTGGAAAAACAGCAGAAAACCATTTGGAAAAGCGATAAGAGCTGAAGTTCCATTGCAACTAATTCATTCGACATATGTGGTCCAATGATGTGAGGGCTAGACATGGGCTGTTTATT